CCATCCATCCATCCATCCATCCATCCATCCATCCATCCATCCATCCATCCATTCATCTAATCCATGTCTACGTCTGTAATTACTTCTACATCTGTATCTCCATCTACCTCATTAGTTCTGTTTCTCTGGAGAGCCTTGACTAAGACACTTACTTTCACACCTCGAGAAGATAACCCTCCCTAAAAGTTCAACCAGAGAGACTCACGAAGGCCACCCACACCAGGTGCCATGGAGAGCCTGCTTGTCTCCAGTGTGCCTGCATCATTCCCTGGTTTCAGCATTAGTCCCTCCCCTTCAATGCAATTCATCAGAGGTCTCCTGGGCACCCTGCCCCCAGGTATCTCAGGTCTAGCACAGCAGGTGCTCACTGTCGGACAAAGCCCATCAGAGGGGCCACGGGGTGGGAAGGGTCACAAACCCAGGGAGTGCTTGGACTTTCCCTGCAGGACCCTTCGAGACTGGGGTTGGAGCATCTTTGAGAAGAGGTGGCCTTGCATCTGGAGCACAGAGGAGGTGCTGATGCTCGGGGGAGAATTAGGGGAGGGCGCTGGTGAGCACGCTCAACCGAGCCTCGCCTCTGCACTAATGGAGCAGTGGGAGTGTTCTGATGAGAAGAGGGGCGTAGACAGGGCTATGCTCAGCGGTCACCCAGACAGTGTGGGCTGGGCCAGCTCTGCTTGTTGCACCATCCCTGTGACTGTGTCAATGGGGCGGCAGTGTTGTGTAAGGGATTTCTAGAGAACCCACGGGTGTGAGCGGTTGGAGGAAGCTGAAAATATGCAGAAAAGTCAAAGAGGGGGAGACCAAAGTGAGCTGCAAGGTGCAGGCAGATGGTCAGGACAGACCTGTGATCCTGCACTGGCATTGACGGAGGTGGAGGGCTCACGTGAACCTGAGCTTCAGGGCTGGGAAATGGTGGGACGCTGGTGCTTTGTCAGGGCTGGAGGGAAGGAAAAGGAGCCGGTACAGGGGGGCTCAGAGAGGGAGAGGAGACCCCAGATTCAGTTCAGGTAGCTTGCCAGGAGACCTGTAGGGTAAAGAAGTCCACAGATAGGTTGGTCTGGGTCAAGGGAGAGCTTTGAGGAAATGAGCAGGGTTCTGAGTTTCTCTTTGACTGTTAAGATGGCAGAAGGGACATTCCTTGTTCTTACACCATTTGGGTCTCTGCAGCATGAAAAATCCCACAACACACTTGTGCAGGGAAGTGTTAACTCAACAGGCCTGGGTTGTCCAAACCCTGCACATTCCAAAGAAAGGACTTGCCCGTCCCCAGTTCCTACAGGGTGATCTCTCAGCCCTGGGAATATCTTGCCTAATAAGACCGTCTTTGTTTACCTGGGGGCTTGTGCCACCCCAGATGGTCTATGCCAACCATGTGATTTATGATGGGGGCCTTGGACTACACCAGATGGTCTCTGACAACAATGGGATTCATGGTGGGGGACTTGGGCCACGTCAGATGGTCTATGCCAACAACGGGATCTATGGTGGGGGCATGGGCCATCCCAGAGAGTCTATGTCAACAGTGAAATTCATGGTGGGAGCTTTGAGCCACCCCAGACAGTCTATGCTGACTGTAAGATTCATGATGAGGGCCTTGGGCCACGCGGTATCAGTTCAACCTCTAGAGAGACTGGGGACAGAGTAATTAAGTCAGCCACGTGAGCTCTCCACATCTAGTGACTGATCCCCTGATAAAAACATTGGACATCAGGGTTTGGGTGAGCTTCCCTGGCTGGCAATACCCTGTGCGAGTTGTCACACATCATTGCCAGGAGAAGTAAGTGCTGTTCACAACCCTGCTGGAACAGGAGAAGGGAAGACTCATGCCTGGAACTCTCCTGGACCCTGCTCCACACGCCTTTTCCCTTTACTGGTTTTTATCTGTATCCTTTTGCCGTGATAAACCATCACCATGAGTATAATAGCTTTTCTGAGTTCTGTGAGTCCTTCCAGGGAATCGTTGAACCTGAGGGTGGTCTTGGAGACCCCTAACACAACACCTGTGTACCCTCATCCAGGACACCATGTCTAGCAAAGCATTTCAGACGTAGAAGACACTTGATAACAAATCAGTTTCTGAACACCCATAGTGAGTCTTAGTTTTCTAGTGCTGCTGTAACAGAAATACCACAAGTAGATGGCTTTAACAAACATGAATTTATTCTATCAGTCTAGGAGGCTAGAAGTTCGAATTCAGGGCGCCAGCTCCAGGGGAACGTTTTCTCTTTCTGTCAACCCTAGAGGAAGGTCCTTGTCATCAATATTCCCCTGGTCTAGGAGCTTCTCAGCACAGGGACCCTGAGTCCAAAGGACCCACTTTGCTCCTGGCTCTTCTTTCTTGGTAATAATGAAATCCCTCTCTTCTCTGCTCGTTTCTTTCCTTTATATCTCGAAAGAGAGTGACTCAAGATACAACCTAATCCTGTAGATTGTGTCCTGCCTCATTAACATAACTGCCTCTAATCCTGCCTCATTAACTGTCTTAGTCATCTAGTACTGCTCTAATAGAATTACCCCAAGTGGATGGCTTTAACAAAGAGAAATTTATTCTCTCACAGTCTAGTAGGTTACAAGTCCAAATTCAGGGCGTCAACTCCAGGGGAAGGCTTTCTGTGTCGGCTGTGGAGGAAGGTCCTTGTTATCAATCTTCCCTTGGTCAGGGAGCAGTTCAGCACAGGAACCTCAGGTCCAAATGATGTGCTCTGCTCCTGGCACTTCTTTCTTGGTAGGTTGAGGTCCCCAACTCTCTGCTTGCTTCCCTTTCCTTTTATCTCTTGTAAATAAAAAGTGGTGCCAGCCACACCCTAGGGAAACTCCCTTTACATTGGATCAGGGATGTGACCTGAGTAAGGGTGTTACAATCCCACCCGAATCCTCTTTAACATAAAATTACAATCACAAAATGGAGGACAACCACACAATACTGGGAATCATGGCCCAGCCAAATTGATGCACACATTTTGGGGAGGACGTAATTCAATCCATGACATTAACATAATAAAAAAATAAAACAAATCCGTTGCCTTTCAGTTGATTCCAGCTTATGACGACCCTGTAGGACAGAGTAGAACTGCCCCCATAGACTTTCCAAGGAGCAGCTGTTAGATTTGAACTGCTAACCTTTTGGTTAGCAGCCAAGCTCTTAACCACTGCACCATCAGGGCTCCATTAACATCTCAGAGGTTAGGATTTACAACACATAGGGTAATCCTATCAGATCACAAAATGGTGGACAACCACACAATACTGGGAATCATGGCGTAGCCAAGTTGATACATATTTTGGGAGATACAGTTCAATCCATAACACAGTGTGATGTCTCTTGGGACCCCTCTGTTTCCATCTTTCTTTCAGTCGCTGTTTTCTTGGCTCCTTCGGGTCTTCTCAGAGTGCTCGCCAGGCTTGGGCAATGTAAATGAGAGTAAGGGGGACCCCATCCAGACTTGCGTGGCTTCCTACAGTCCTGTGGAGAGCCTGGCCTAAGAAGAACAGGGGGAACAGGCTGGGGGATGGAAGTCAGCCCAATCACAGAGACTTCTACTCATCCTCAGCTGCGGGCGTTGTATGCCTACAACTTTAACAAATACTCACTGTGTTTTCTCCTTTCTACTTCCTCTGGCAGAGACTTGGCTTTTTCACTGACCACAACAAATTGTACCTTTTGCGATAGGTCACATTCTGGGAAATTAAAATGTCATCAGTAGACACGCTATGCTTTTCCAGGAACTTGTGATAAAGAAAGCTTGGCCCCCACCCACAGCTCTGGCTCTTTTCCCAACTATCACACTGGCTAGGTGGCTGTGGTGGGTGTTACCCAGGGTCCAGCAGCTGGTATTGCTGGATGAGAGGCCAGAGAATGTCCCATCACTCACTCCAAGGACTCACTGACAACTCATCATGCAGGCAGAGACCTGGGGGCTGTTCATCTCCTCTCTGTAAAGGGCCTCATCTGTAGACCATCAATTCTGCTCTGTAGCCTTCTCCTCCTTCCTCTTGTGGGGAAGGACACTCAGGGGAAAGACCCAAAACCTCCTAAGTGGTCTCTTTTCCCAGAAGAACATGCAACAGCCCCCCAGTCTTGATAATCCATTCATCCGTACATCCAT